CATCTATAGATACGTGCTTGTGTTTTCATCTGAAATCAATTGCTTGTACCAGGGAACAACAATTCCAGCACAACATCTGGGCAAAACCTTTGGAATATTTTCCTTTTAAACTGTATTATTTCTCTTTCCTGCATATGCCTGGTTTACCAGACAAATACAGTTAGCTAGTATATATAATAACAGTATTTGGTCATTTTTATTTGTGATTGACAGTTTTTCAAATCAAAATAAAACACATTCTTAGTCGATCATCTTCTTGAGAGTGCGCTCTGTTTTAAGCTCGGTTTGCTTCTGAAGACAGACAGAGATCTCACTCCATCAGGGGTAAATGGTGGAATTATGGGATCCAACAGATCCCATACTCTGAAAAATGCTTAGCTTAATATTTAATAGCTAATTCCTGGACTAATATTTTTACTGCATTCTTTTATCAAATACTCATCAGCTGGTATTGCAAAGAAAAAGAATTGGAAAACTTTGAAAATTTCCATTTATGATTGTGTTTGTAATTAATCCCATGCTGGAAGTACCTCGGGCAGCTCACTGTATGGCTTTGTTCATGTCAGAATGGGGAGAGCAACCTCTTTTTGTTACATATTTAACAGCTTTGAAAGACATTTTTTTAAACAGCAAATGTACTAGACAGCTTTAAAGCAGAGGACATTAAATGGGGGCCAATTATTCATTCAGCAGCTCTATGTGCATCATGAACATGCATACCACCAAATTTTCCTGAGACAAACCACTTAAATTTCCCATGACTCAGACACCATTTCTGTACTAACTAGATAAGGATAGCAATCATTTGCAAAAAGAAACAGATATAACGTATTTCCTACCCTGGAATACTGAAAAAAATATTTTAAAATACGTTAATTTACAATTTGGGGACAGCATTGGTGACAAGAAATGTCCTATTTTTAGATGGAAGAGTGTTCCTTGTGAAGATAATTTCGTTATTCTCCTTCACTTTAAAATGACCAAAGTGTCTAACTCAGTATACAAGAAGTTCAGAAGGTGATCCATGAATGGAGTAATAATTTGCCCGAACCATTTCAAGTCAGTCCACAGAGCTGCTGGTCTGTCTGCAGCAACTCGGGGAGAGGAAGAGCTGAGCTGAGCTCCACTTGCTGACAGGAAGCAAACTGGCTCACATTTTAGGAGAACAACATCATTGCCTATAAAAATGAAGAAGAGACAAAATAAATAAAACCAGTTAATGTTGTAGTTAACTTGCAAATCAAGTAAATCTGTTGGTACAGTATTTTAGAAATAAACGATAACAGCATCACACCAAACACACATTTCTGAACATATACGCATTCTGATTTTGATTTAATGGTATCTCAGCGTCAACTATTGCTTCCTTTGCTGGTACACACTTCCTGATGCCTACTGTGAAGGGTGCCCATATTTACAACTGAGTAAGATGATTAATTACACCTTGTCAATCACGGTGCATGAAGACATAACACCACAGCAGACAATGAAGAAGATGCCTGAAGCTACAATTACATTTTAATTCATAGTTTATTGTATGTTCCCATATATTGCAGTCTAATAACCGTAGGGGCATCGAAAACATATGAGATATCAATCACTCTGCCCCCTGGTCTTTCATGTTTATATTATTCCACAGTCTTTAAATTACCATAAGTAGTTACTTATTTTCTAAGCTTTCTTCTCTTCTCTCTTACCTTTTGCTTCCATTTATCTTTTTATTCTTAGTATCTTTATCCAACAGCTATAAGTATTTGATGGAAGTTTGTAGCTCACTTAAAATCTGTAACAGACAACCTGAAACCCAGCAATTAGCAAAGACAGCTTAGACTTGTGTTCCTTTGTTGAAGGAGGCGTTGAATCTTTTGTTCTGATTTAGTCACGGTAGCTGGGTGGAAGCTGGTACCTCATTATGTGGTTGGTCTGTTTGTCTGGTAGGTAGCAGATGGTACTGGAGATGACGTTACCAAGAGAGGCAGGGTAGAGAAACTCAAGACCTGTGATTTGTTCACCTGTCACCTATAACAAAATACAGGTTAAAAGACTTTATTATTAGCTGCACCATTTTTTTAATGAAAAAACTCTCATTTCAAATGAGCCTGTGTTTCATTCTGAAGACAATTTTGCTCCAGCAATTTTTCTGTGGCTCATTATTTGAAAGTATCCTTGATTTTATTCTGAACAATGTAAATGTCATTCATGTGTCAGTGTGTACATTAGCAGCTTTATGTTTACATTCTGTTACTCTCCTTGTGTTTTGGTAGCAAGGGTTGGATGTCTTCTTGTGTTTGTATATCCATTAGAAGAAAATCAGAGATACCCTGTGAACTGGAGGCCATGCCATACTTTTTCAGCGTGCTCTTGGTATTATTGGTTCCATCCACTGAGGCAATTCTGTAACATAAAATACTGTAGTTTAATTCTGTTAAATACCTAAAATCTTTTTGATAATTATCAGTGTCATATAGGGTGTACAAATTCATGACCTTTCTTAACTGCAAAAAGTCTGTAATCAATTCAGTGATAGGGAATTAATCCGGTATGAAAACATCTGAGGATAGTACGGTACACAGCTGTGGGTAAGGATATCTGCAGCATTGCTTGAGCAAAGGTGAGCCAGTGCTGTCCCACGCGGGGTCCGTGGTATCTGGTGAGCAGTGATCCACAGCTGCTCCTGGAGGCAAAGCTCCCAGCACAGACGGGGCTTGGAAATGTCTCACAACTGTACGGAGGAAGGGAAAGATGATTTTATCAAGATAAATACTATACAGAGCTGAATGGTGCTGTAGGATCCTAATCTGAATTCAAACATGAGCTTCCATTGTTTCCAAGGTCTGATTTTAGGACAGACTTTGGATACTTCCCACAGATGCCAAATTAGCTTGCATTCTGTATGGTTTCTGGAGGGGCCTTGTGGCTATTTCATATGCATTTCTACAAGAGACACTTTGTTCTCCTGTGTGACATGCAAATGTCTTTAACTACTCAGAGCAATCCCAACAGAAAGATGATAAAAAGCCTTAATTATTGTAAGAATGGAATGCATAAACCCAGCAAAGTTCGGCTGTAAACAGAAAAAATCCAGTTTTAGCAAGGATAATCTTAACTGCACTACACCTGTAAGAGGCAAATCGCTCTGTCAGAAAACAGCACCTGATGGGAATGAGCAGAGTGATGTAATAATTCACAGTCACGGATGAGGTGGCAAGTCTCATGATCTCAGATGTGCATTCAGATCTACCTTCCGTTGTGCTACCTTTGCTAACATAATTAGAAGTGTGATATTTGACATCTTTAATACTAATTAGTCCTTCCTCACTACCCATCTCCTGGATAAATATTTAGACATTGTGAACAGTCTCCCTGTGCACTCTTTGTCTTTCCTGGAGACTTTCTGAAGCTTCTCCTGAAGTTCAGAGACCTTCCTGGCCTGGTTTTCTTATGGTCTTCTTGGAAATGAGAGATGCGAGAGGCCTTGGTTTGTGGAAGGATCCACAAACTGGAGTGACTCAAGTTATTATATTCTAGCAGTGGATATTTTTCGTAACGAGGGTTATTGGGCACATTCAACTAGTCATAAATATTTGGGGTATCCGCGATCTCGGAGTGCAAACAAGCTCCTGAAGGCCTCCTTCTCTCGCGCTGGGGGAGTTGTGCCCCGCAGCCTGTTCGGCTCGCCACGGCCCGACACGTCGCGGACGGTCACCGGGCGACAAACAGCGAGCTCCGCGCGGGGCCGGGCCGCTCCCGAGGCCGCGGAGCGAGCAGGACGCGGCAGCGCTCGCGGTGCCCGGGCGGCGGGGACAGAGAGGGACAGCGGCCGGGCACAGCGCAGGGACAGAGAGGGACAGCGGCCGGGCACAGCGCAGGGACAGCGAGGGACAGCGGCCGGGCACAGCGCAGGGACAGCGAGGGACAGCGGCCGGGTATAGTGTAGGGACAGTGCGGGAATAGCGCGGGTACAGCGAGGGGACAGCGAGGGACAGCGGCCGGGCACAGCGAGGGGACAGCGAGGGACAGCGGCCGGCCCCGAGCACATGCCGGCGGCCCGGGCGCGGCGCAGCCAATGGCGGCGGGGCAGGACATGATGTCAGAGGGGCTGTAGAAAAGGCGCGGAGCCCCGCGCGGTCCCCGCGCTGCAGAAGCGCCGCTCGCAGCTCCGCGGCGGCTCCGGCTGCGCTCCCTCCCCGGGCCCCGCGGGCCGCGCCGCTTTAAGGACAGAGGGGGGCCGCGAGTGCCCGTCCCATCTGGTGCCCGTCCAACTCTTCCTCCTTCCCCTTGGCTTTTTCTTTTCCCAATGAGCTCCAGCGGGCTGGGGGAGGAGCGGGGGAAGGAGCAAACTTTGCCCCTGAGCTGCCGCCGCTGCCAGCCCTCTGGACTGTGAGTGCGTACGGTGGGCATCCGCCCCAGCAGCCCTGCAGCAAGAGCCTGCTCACCGCCTGCTGCAGCCTCCCTCTCCCTTGCTTTCCTCCTCTAAATTTCGCACAGTACGATGTAAGGGGCTTGTCGTAATTTTTTTTTCTAGTTCTTATTTATTTCTCACCGAAGATGGTTTGATTTTTTTTTATATTTCTACTATTTATTAATCCCTCCCAACTGTAAGCGTGCCCAGCCTTCTGCCAGCTGGGCCAGAGCATAAAGCCTGGGACTGCACCTGGGGCAATGAGCCCTGCACTGAAGAAGCCTCCTAGAGAGATGTGCCGGGGCCGCGCAACAGACTAGATCCAAGCCCCGAAGCTTACACCACCAGTTATCCCCTCTCCCGCATCCCCTCCTCCTGCCTTTTCTGCACCCCGTCCCTTGAAACCTCGGATCACTGCCTGCGCCGCGCTCCGAAGAGCTCTGCCGGGGGAAAACCCGGTGCCCAAGGAGAGACGGGGCGGCCGTGCTAGATGCATGGGGGAGGGCTCCGGTTAATGCAAGTTCTGGGCTCCTGCAGGGACCCCGACAACTGTCAACAGCAACAGCAACGCGGGCCCTCCTCCTCTGCTTCCTCAGCGATGCTTTTCCACAGTCTTTCCGGCTCGGAGATGCACGGGGTCATCGACGAGATGGATCGGAGAACCAAAAGCGAAGCACCGGCCATCAGCTCGGCTATAGACAGGGGAGAAACGGAAACGGTAGGAGCCGAAGGAATGGGAGAGTCATGCACACCCCTAAACATACCAAACCCCTCACAGATACAGCTTTTCCCCTAAAATAACAGATCGGGGGGAAACGTTTGCGAAATACTAAATCAGAAGAAAATTAAGCATAAAGGCACCCCAAAAGATTAAATGAAACCGTGGGGAAAGGCATGAAACTGTTAATTATTAATAATATGCATAGTAATAGTAACGCTTGGGTGAAATGAACGGAACTGCTCTAGTGAGAAAACAGATAGACCAGCCTTTTGGTAGCGTCCAAGAACTCCTTCCCTTCCCCCAGCCTGTCCGGCCTTCCAAAGTTTTTAGGAAGAGGCAAAGTGTGGTTTTATACCGATAACATTTTGGCACAGTGATTTTTTTTGTCTGCAGAATGGAAGCACAAACACCAAAGAATCCAATTCTGTGTTATTTTTCAGGTAGGATGCCTTCCTGGAGATAGTCTTTATAGCATTTATTTAAGAAGAAAAAAGCCAAACACGAGTGTCTTTAAGTTATGGGTTTTAAAAAGTAATTAAAATATGTAGGTTTGTAAACATGGCAAGCAGAACTAGAAGATATGCCTCAAGAGACGGATGGATACGAATTTTTATAACTTTACCACATTTTATCTTGTCTGCTGATGCGTAGTCCTTGTATATTAATACACTTAGATAATAAAAAGATGCATCCGTCTAACTAGAATTAAGCTGGCGAAGTGGAAGAAATTTCCCAAATGTCTTAAGTGATTGAACAATTTCTGTATACTTTTTTTTTTTGTTACGAAATTACAATTCTGAAGTGAAATTATCTCATACGTTGGTTAAATGCTGTCTTGTAAACTGATACAGGCATATGCAAGGAAGATCCGTTCTCAGGTTTTCAAACTTCATCAGTATGTGTTCTTTCTTATAATGTTATGTGAAATTTGCTTAAAGGTGACAGTGAGTCTATTTAATCTTGAAACACCGGCTGGAAAACGGCCTTTGTACTAAAAGGGTGGGATGCAATTTCTAATATAAATGGTTTTGGTTTTCTTTTAAAAAGTGAATATTTCTCCGTAACAGTTAAACAACATCCAATGACCTATGCTGAAATAAATATAGTGGCGTGATAGTTTTATATAACTATATATTGCCTATATGGATACACGTGTGTATATAACAAATAGTGGCTTGGAATACTGGACCCTTGAATACCGTTTCTAGATCTCAGAATATTTTTGTTACTGGAAAAGCAAAGTAGAAAAAAATCGTTATTTTATTTAAAGTGGATTTACAAGAAACTACTTCTGTTATAAAACGATCCCGACTCGGAGTTCAGTTAATGCCTTAAAGAAACAAGCTACCGGTGGGTTCCTGTGACTAACACCAGTGGAGTGCCAGGGTTTTGTTTGTGTGGAGTTCTCCTAGTGGGAATGATGCGGTGCAAACGGGAGTGCTCACAGAGATGGGAATTTGTGATCCCCGCAAGCACAGAATGAAAGCAATGGGTTTGGCATGTGCTGGAAAATCAGCCTCGGTTCCTTTCGATTTCCTCCGATTAGCTGTCTTTGCTTTTGCTTTGCGCGAGGATTTAAGGCTCTAGAGGAGGTAAAAGCAAACAAACAACTTCTCCCCCGCCCCGAACCAAAACAAACTGCGTGTTGGGCACAGCTGTAAGGAAATGTTTCGGGTTCCCGTGCACAAGAACAGATCCTCCGTGGGCTTTTGTGCAAAGCGGGTAAGAGTAAGTTGGGACCGAAGTGGAAAGCAGCATATTGCAAGGTCTGCCCCAGACGCTGCTCCACCGAGCCTCCTCTCCCGAATGCTGTTTTAAGGTGTCTACTGAAATAAATAAGCATGCTTAAACGGTTCCGATATTTCTCCCTCTTTCTTGTTCGGTAGAAGTTGACAGGATATGTATGAATTCGGGGTTTTTCGAAGGTTTCGATTGGATTGCGATTTGACACTAAACTATTAAATTATATTGGGCTTATATTTAGTTTTATTGCTTCCAAGTTTATCCCAGCATAATCTAACGTGCTTTGTTGGTTTTTACCCACTCTTATTCCTACACATTTCCCACTATTTCGTTTTCCCGATAAAACATTCTGCACCTCGGATTTAGTTTAGTAACTAAACATCTCCTCCGCAGCTTTATTTACTGATCCCTTTAGCGCTTTGGGTCACAGCAGATCGCGATCCGTGTTGTTTGGAACCAGCTTGCAGAGAGCTGTGTCTGCAGCACTGTGACTATTGGGGGTTTGATTGTAATTCATTCGGAATTTTATAGCTGGGAAAATCCACACAGAGACACGCTCCACATATATGCACTCACAGACCATTAACTATGCAGGCATTCTCAGTACATCCATAGTAATAAATTTTCAAATGAACTATCTGCGATTTGCCCTACTCTGTTATTATTGCGCGTGTTTATTAAACAGCATCTTTTCTTGGTTCGAGACTGGAAAATCCACCAGAAAAAAAAAGTTCTAGGTCTGGCCTGGAAGCCTCTTCTAAAAGCCAGGGTGTTTTTCTGTTTGTCTCGCCCGCTTCCCCGCCTCCTCCTGGGAAGGTGGGATGCGCCGGGACCCTGGGGACCGGGCGCGGGGGCCGATCCGGGTGGCGGCTCGGAGCGCCCGCTCCTCTGCCAGGAAAGCAGCAGCCCGGCCCCGGCCGGGCAGGGGGAGGGGGGGAGCCCAGCCGTGCTCAAGAGTTTCTCCCTCGATAACGGTCTGTAATTGTTTTCCCCCAGCAGACCATGCCTTCCATCAGCAGTGACAGGGCTGCCCTGTGCGCCGGCTGCGGGGGTAAAATCTCCGACCGTTATTACCTCCTGGCTGTGGACAAGCAGTGGCACATGCGCTGCCTGAAGTGCTGTGAATGTAAACTCAACCTGGAGTCCGAGCTCACCTGCTTCAGCAAGGACGGCAGCATCTACTGCAAGGAGGACTATTACAGGTACAGCCTGCCCTCGGCCGCCAGCCGGGGACGGGGACACTGCCCGCCTCTCCCCCCGCTGAGCAGAGACTCCCCCGTCCTGACGAGGCTGCGGAGGGGATCCGTGGGCTCGCGTGGGGCAGGCTGTGAGCTCCTAAAACCTCCCCCTGGGGAGGGACGCTCGTGGTGAGGATGAGTCCCGTGTTGCCGGGAGGGAGGCACGGCCTGGGCACAGCCTCCCCCCAGCCTGCTTTGGCCACTGGGGCCTTCACCAGGCGTCCCCTGCCCGGCCTCCTGCGTTGGCTGCGGGGCCGGGGCCGACAGCGGGGCCGCTCCTCGCCCGCCGCCGGTGCCTCCTGCGGCCCGGGGCTGCGGGCACATTCGTGGCCCGGGGGTCGGTGCCTTTTTCTGGTGGGGTCTGGAGGGGCGGGAGCTGCGCTGCGAGCTGGGAAACGGGACAGAATCTCCCCGCGCTCCCGTCCAGGGATGCCCGCCCGGCTGGGCTCCGCAAACGTCCCGGCTTTGTGCCGCTGCCCCGGCCGAGCTGGCCGGCCCCGGGACTCGCAGCCCTTTGCAGCCCTCCGGGCAGAACCCATGAAGGACGGGGTGGGGGGGAGTGCACCTCTCACCGTCTCCTCTGGCCTTTCTGTTTTGCAGGAGGTTTTCGGTGCAGAGATGTGCGAGATGTCACCTGGGGATTTCTGCCTCCGAGATGGTCATGAGGGCCAGGGATTTGGTATATCACTTAAATTGCTTCACTTGCACCACTTGCAACAAGATGCTGACCACTGGCGATCACTTTGGCATGAAGGACAATCTGGTGTACTGCCGCCTCCATTTCGAGACTCTCATCCAGGGGGAGTACCAGGTGCATTTCAATCACTCGGATGTAGCCGCTGGGAAGGGCCCGGCTTTGGGAGCGGGCTCTGCCAACACTTTGGGACTGCCTTATTACAATGGCGTGGGGACTGTCCAGAAGGGGAGACCCAGGAAAAGAAAAAGCCCGGGGCCTGGAGCAGATCTGGCAGCCTACAATGCAGGTAAGAGACCCCCACCTTCCCCCAGAACAGTTCAAATGGCTTGTTTCTGTTCACTTCTAAAGGGGGATTTCCGTTTATTTTAGCTTAAACTGTTAATAATAGTTTAGCTGCAGCATAATTATTGAGATCAAGTGCTGTCAAACTGCAATTACAGAAGCTAATATGTTAGCATTTTTCACTTCAGCTGGAAATAAAATGTTTTGAAGCAAGGTCATCTGGTTAAGGGGGGGAAGAGGGGGGAGTGCAGCCTGAAATAAAATCTGGAAACCAGAGATTTTAAGTTAGCACTTCAGAGACCGGTGAATTTTCTTTAGTGGCTACACTCTAAAGCTGCTGATGGCTGAATTGTTCAGCCCTGTCCTGAGCTCTCGCGCCCCAAAGTTTTGGAAGGAAAGAGAGAAAGGAAGTGGCCGTTTCCCGAGGCCCTGGAGTGGGAGGCGGCCGGGGGTGCAGGGCTGGGTGTGCCCGGGCAGGGGCCGTGGGCAGCAGGTGTCTGCGGGCAGCGCAGAGCCCGCTCACACGGGGGCAAGTTCCGCTGGAGTTTTGTTCATGAGACGTGACTCGGAGAAGAGTCGGGAAACTCTCAGCATCCCCTTTGCAGCCCATGGCTGCCCCGCGGCACAGCTCCTGCCGCTGAACCGAGCCCAGCATCAGGAGGAACGGCAGCGACCCTGGCAGCAGCCGGGGCTCTCTGTATCCAGCAGCAAACTTTCCGACGTGTTTCCTCGTTTAACCTCCCCACCGCCGCAGCACTGTAATTTTACAGGCAAAGGAATTCGAGCAATCTCCTGCCCCCCCCCCCCCCCCCCCCCCCCCCCCCGCCCCCCCCCCCCCCCCCCC